TATCACTTACTTCCTAGACAGATTTAATGTGTGATGAGGGGCTAGCTGAGGAAGCAGATGTGTGGTGTCTGACACCATCCCCCAGCTCAAGGTGTGTGTAATTTCAAATACTGTGACAAGCTGAGATCCAGATCTTTATTTCTTTTCTCAGTCATTATGGACCAGTATTTCCTTTAGTGTCATGGTTCCCTGGCACTATCGTCTGGAAACCTCCTGCTAGCCCACAGATTCCGACCTTGCTTGTAGAACTTCCTCCATGTAACTCTAATGAGACAGGAAGGATGTTGAAAGTGGTCCAAAGTACCAAAAGTTAGGAAGTGTTTGGGGACTGCATCAATCTTTGTCCAAAAGAGATCAGCCAGACCACTTCTGGTGTTTTGTGGCAGCAGTAGCACCAATGTGGTGAAAGGTATAAATCATTCTGATGCTGACCTGATCACTGCTGTGATTGTTCCCTTTGGTCCTTCCAAAGGGATCTTGGAAGAGTGATCTTGGCTTCCTTCATTCTCTGTGCTTGCAGTGGGCTTCTATGAATATGTAAAAGGAAAAATGCTAGAAAGGTATGTTGTTTTGAGCAAACCATCTGTGCCCTATTCAGTCTGTGTGCAAACAGCATTTTAAAAGACCCTCAGGGATACAGACTGCCAGGGGATGCTTATATCTGAAGGGTTTTTTTCCTTTATCTTTGTTTTCTATACTAAAATATTAATACTCGTATTGATATGCTCTGACATTAGTATGCTATAGTGTTAATATAAATGTTTTAGTGTTACTGTAATTTACCCAGGTGACTCTAGTTAAGTCAGAGTCTGTGATAAACCAAAACCAGAGCACAGAAGCCTGGTTAAACTTCCCTATTTCCACCTGTGCTTTATTTGCTTTGTACAGTATTGTATCCTCTAGGTTTTTACTAGGGATTCCCCTGGGCAGCCCCTGCTGATAGTGTAATATCCTCCTGCAGTGACAAAGTTGCTCTTGGAGCTGCATACCTGCCTGCTTTCACAGTCTTGGCTTCCATAAATTTGCTGCAGCTAGGCTGGCTGTCATCAGCGTGATGGTAGCAGAAGATCCTGGGTTTTTTTGGATCATACCCAACAGAACAGGCAAATCTCAGTATCTTATTCCAGGAAGAGTTTAGAACATCCAGGTGAAAGTATCTTTTGCTTTTCAATTAATTCTGCTGCTTTGTTAACTCCTGAGAAGTTTGCAGTGAAAACGTTTCTTACTGTGGGCGAGAGCTGCATAGAGACCAGAATGCAGGAGGGGAAATAATTCAGTCCCATGTATACAGGCCTCCAGGTCCTGGGCAGATACTAGGTAATATAAAAAAGTGAGGGAGAGATACAAATGGCAGTCCTTGCATTTGAGCCTGTTCATAGCCCTTTCTTTGTGGGGTTCTTTGCCTTGACTGCTTGCTGTGACAGGTTTTAGTACTTCAGCCTAATAAAAGGCATCTGAATTAAATTGGAGCTGTGGCTGTTTGGTTATTTCACTTAAGTTGATTGGTGTAATTTTCCATCAATACTGAAGCCATACCCTGTCAAACATGTTAAACGGGGCAAAATCATGGGACAAATTTCAGCCTAGAAAGAGGTTTCTCAGGGGCATTTCAGAGGACTGTGCCCTCTCCACTCCTTTTCTGGTGCCTCACATTTCAGCACCAATGCATTGCTGTGGTTTTGAAAGCAATCTCCCAGCAGCTGGAGGTGGACAGTTGTGCAGGGTAGGGGGGATGCTGCTGCTTGCTGTGACAGTCTCACTTTCCCAGGTCCTGCTCCCACTGAGGTGCCTGCTCTGCCCTGAATACTGCAGTGGTGAAACTGCAGTGGTGTGGGCTTTTGCAACAGTTCCCTTGAACCCTGACTCTGGCTGCCAGTGTTAACTGTGATGTTAGGTCCATTGCTCTGTGTAGATCAGCCAGCTGGCATGGCTCTGCCAAGCACTTGTCATGAAAACAGGGAAGGGTCTATTCTCTCTTTACAAACCTTTCCCTTGCAGTGGCAGGATTATTTTTGCAGTATTCATGTGATGTAGCCACTAGGACTTCCAGACCACAAACAAGGAGATGGTTCCGTCTACTCTGCTCTCAGGCCTAGTGTGCAATCTGTCATTTACCTTTTGTCATTTACTGGATTTTTCACCTCTGACAAGGCACAAACCATGAATTCACCTTCCCAGAGAATCACAATCCCACGTGATTGAAGGTGCCTGAAAATATCTGAAGATCACCTGCCTGCAGTAGCTGAGCTCCCATAGCCAGAGAGCTGGGCTGAACTGACTGCACTGGCCACAGCAGCTGCCCAGGCTGCAGAGCTCATGGAGCAGCTCTTTTGTTCAGTGTCAGTAAGAAGTAAACCAGCGAGGTGAGCAGGTGAATTTTGAGCCTTCTAAACTGGGCCATTTAGCCCTTGTATAGGTCTGGGACTCCCTTCCCCTTTGCCATCAGCCTGAGACTTCAACAATGACTAGCTGCTGAACAAGCCCTTGTTCCCTTTTTGCTGATAGTTAGCCTTTGTTTTATCCCAATAGCACTAAAATTGGATGTGTCTGGTGCATCCAGCACAGCTCTAGGGCTGAAGCTATGACCAGGGTACCTTTCTGGGCACGGATAGAGCAGAGATTATCTCTGGAGGTACTGAGCTGAAGTAGAAAAAAAGGTCTCTTCCTGCAGCCTGGCATCCTCTCACATCTTAGCAAGATTTACAGCCTCCCTTATTGCTTGGGTAGGGAGAAGAGGTTCCTGAGCCAGCACCTTTAGGGATTGCTCCTGATTTGGAAGAGATGAAACCACCAAGAGCAGTTTGCAAGTCTCACTGAGTCAGCATCTGCCCCTGACCTGAGGGCTGAGATTTGACACCTTACTTGTCATTTGGATTTTGGTAGTCCCCAGAGGGTCTTAGCTGAGCTGAGGGTCTCAGCAATGTCTGGCATGTAGGTCCATGGCAGAACACAGTCCTTGGCTGAAGATGGGTGACTATTTTTTTCTTTAAATAACTATGCCTTTTACCTGGACTATTTCTTCATCTTTTTTCTTGTTGCCCAAGAAGAAAACACCCTACCCCATATATAAAACCTCTTTTACTCTTCTTGGCATACTTATGTGCATGTATGACCCACTAGGTGCCCCAGGGAAAGCCTGTCTGCTTCTCTCCTTAACTCCCTGCCATCCCAGCGGAGATCACATGGCTGCCATCCTTCCCTTGCTTCCTGGAAGCAGCATGTGCTCCTGGATCTGCTGTGAATGTCATAGCCAAATGCTTTACCTTCCCTGGTGTTGGGCAGGATAAGTTCCTTTTGGGCCTCTCAAGTAATCTGAGTACCAGACCAGCTTTGTGGGCTGTAGCTCTGTTGTGACCAATGCATTGTCACAGGCCAGCCTGTTTCCTGCTGTTAGGGAAGCAGGATGCTGGGCAGATCCTTACATTCATTGCAGAGCTTATGCTTTCTTCTTTCCCGCCCATCACTTTTGTCTATATTCTCCTGGAGCTCTTGTTCTGTGGGTCCAGCTACCCTCTTGGTATCTGTTAGCTTTTTCTCATGTTTCTTATCACTTGTGCAGGCACAGCCACACAGTTGACCCTGGGTGGGAAGGATGGGAGTCCAAGCACTATCAGAAATTGCCTTTGAAACAGGGGAGGGTGCCAACCAGTAGCTGCTCTGTTTGTTTCCTATGCCTGTCTCCACGTGGGACAAGAAAGCACTGGAGGAAGAATAGGGCAGTTTTATTCTCCCATGTCTTTGCTCTCATGTGCTTAGTTTAGCCAGAGAGAGGCCTGCTGAGGGCAGTTTGAACACTGTATTTAGCAGAATCTTGTTCATTACTTTCTTTCCCACCTCTTAATTGATCAAGCACTATCGGCGGGGCTGTCAGAAGATCCTGTACCAAATTCCACTCTACCACATCCCTGCAGCCCCACTGGGGCTTAGCATGTGGGGGTCATCCAAAATCCACTTCTAGTTGTTCCCATTGTAACTTCTTCCTCTTCCCACTGCTGCTTCCTAGCATGTCTGAACTGGGTTCTCAGAAAACTACTCTGCTTCTGACTATTCCCAAATAATTATCACATAGTTCTTCTCCCAAAATAATGCTAGGTGTGGGTGAGGCGCATTCGCTTCCAGTGATGTAGCAACATCCCTTACACAACAGAAATCTTGGGTGTTTCACCAAACTGCAGAAGGGATGACGGCTTTAGGAGTGTGACTAAGGGGCGTCAGTGTGCCACAGGTGTTGCATGTCATCTCTGGGATTGCTTTCTGGGTTTGCCTTCTTCTAGTGCATGAGTATCCTGGCACTCGCTTTCCTTTCCCAGCCCTTTCCCCAGAGACTGAGGAATGACTGAGCCGTACTGGAGCAGCTCTCTGTCCAGACTGTAGCTGTGCTCTCTGGGATTGTGGCTCCTCTCGGTGGGTCCTGCTGTGACCTGGACTTGCTCCTGCCTTGTTTGTGCTGAGCAAAGTGCCTTGCCAGCCATGTGAGGGCCAAAGCCAGAGCACACCTCATGGCCTTTCCACCAAGCTCTGCAGGCCTCCCTGCCAACTTGCACAGACATCAAGGCCTCAGAGAGAACCAGCTGTTCTGGCTGGACAGAAATAAAAATAAAATCCAGCTGAGCTGGTTCCATAGCGGTAAACAGGGACTGAGCAGCAAGTGTCCCTGCTGGTGCTGTGACCCAGCATAGCTTCTCCAGCCACTCACCCTCAGTAACTCTCTGTGAGTCAGTCTGCTAGTTTTTGAGCCTCAGGAGCACAGAGAAGAGATTTTCTGGAAAACTCCCCTGATATCTGACTTTGGTTGTTGGGGTATTTCTGTGGGATTGTTTCTGGTTTGGTTGGGTTTTTTTTCGGGCAAGGCAGAGTGGATGGGGATGGATGTTCCCCAGTGAAAGACTCCAGACTGCTCTCCTGTCCCAGCTCACAAGTCCTGGCTTGCAGCTACAATTCCAACTATTATGACTGAGTGCGTGACAGAGATACTGCATTAATGGCATGTTTGTCTCCTTGCAGTGATGAAGATGATGAAGGTGCTACCATGCCCTGCTGCTCTTCTTCTCCTCGTGACTGCATTCACTGTGGAGCCATCTCACTGTGCCAAGGTGCTGATCATGCCCACCATAGTCTTTGACAGCCATTTGCGAGTCTTCATGCGGGTGGCAGAGGCACTGACTGACCGAGGCCATGACCCTGTGCTGCTGCTCCATGAAGGTCGGGATGTGGAGACCTCCCTGCCCGGCTTCCGCGTGCAGAGGTACTGGGGAACCTTCAGCACAGAGAACGCAGATGCCTGGGTGCAGGAGAAGATAAAGCGTATCTTTCAAGGGAAGATGACCTCCCTGGAGGTGTTTTCATTTTTGGAGAAGTATCTGGAAAACTGTGACCTAGTACTGGGAAATTCTACCCTTCTGCAGAAACTCCAGCTGGAGCACTTTGATCTGCTGTTGGTGGACCCCAATGAGATGTGTGGATTTATCCTGGCCCACATCCTACACATCAAATATGCTGTGATTTCCACTGGCTTCTGGTTCCCAGCAGAGATTGGTGCCACCTCCCCCATTGCCTATGTCCCTGAATTCAACTCCCTGATGACAGACAGGATGGGCTTTTTTGGTAGGACTTGGAATCTCCTAGTCTACATAATCACTCGTGTGGCTACAAAACTGGTCATCCTGCCCAAGTTTGAACGTCTCATGGAGAAGCATAGTGTGGAGCCCAAGACATCCATGTTGGACCTTGTTCATGGAACCAGTCTGTTCTTCCTCTGTAATGATGTGGTGTTGGACTTTCCCCGTCCAACCCTCCCCCATGTCATTTTCACAGGGGGGATCCTGGCTGAGCCTGCAAAGCCCCTTCCAGTGGTAAGTGCAAGAAAGCTTTGATCTATGATTGCACATCAACTAGGGAGGCTACTTAGTACAGATCTTCTCTGGGAGAACCTTGTAAAAGTTCTGAAGCCCCAAGTATCTGGAAAGCTGTGGTGTTTTGGTGCTTGTGGGTGCATTGGTGAGACAGGGAACACTGAAGGTTGTCAGGCTGCAGGGAGGATGTAGAATTAAGTGGGCCACGCTGAAGTGGGATTTGGCCTCACTGTCCATGTAAAATGGTGTGTGGAGTTTGTAAGATGGAAGTGCTGCCCCTGGGACTTGAGAATGAATAGTTTGTTTGCTCCTGTGGGAATGGGAAGAACAATTAATCTGCTTTGTTTCATCACTGATGTGTTAATCCAGAATTTCCTCCTTCATCCTATTTCTCACAGAGCATTTCTGCCCTTGAGCTTGTAGTGTTAAGAAACCACAGGGGACAGCTGTTCTTGTTCCTTCATTAAATTGAGTGTAGAATCCCAAACTGTAGAAAACTGCAGGGTATCAACCCCTTTTTCTCAAGATTCAGTCCTGAAAATTCCTCTCAAGGCTTTCTCCAGCTTATGCCTTACTAATCCCAGGAATAAATTCAGAGGAACAAGCTCCTAAAACCTCTGGCTGAAGACAGTATTGGAAGAGAGTAGGACTTGTCTTATCACTTTTACAAACATTGAGGGGAAATAAACCTGGATAATAAAACTTGGGCAGTCAAGATGTCCTAGTGTCCTGACTAAGGGTCTGAAAGGGAGATAAGATTTCAACTTTCAAATTATTAGAGGCCTCTCAAGATCTCTGATGGCAACTTCACTGATGCTGTGGATACCAATATTTTTCAGTTAAAAAAGAGGTGAGATCAGGTGCCTTAAAAAGAAGCTCTCCAGATGTGTCTGACTGCACATGAGCCTTGCCCATGTGGCACGGTCTGCAGGTAATGAAACGCACGTAGGGTGCTCCGAAAGCTGTGTCAGAGGGTGGCTGCCTCACAGCTCTTGCAAAACTCTGGCTTGGTCCAACCTGGCCACGTACACACCTGCCTTATAAAGAAGGGAGTTGTTTGTTAGGGCATTACTCATGTGCTTCACAGCTTCCAGAACAGATCCCAGGGCACTTAAGGAAAGAATGATGGAGATAAGTTTGGAGCCCTGCAGTAGGTGGTGGCTGTCATGCTAGCAGGAAGGCATGTCCATGTCCACATCATGGGATGCCAGCAGAAGAGAGAGCCTCTGTAGGTCTAGGTGTGCCTTAAAGAATGTCCCATTTGAAATGTAATTAAATGCTTATTTCCTCCTATTTGAAACACTATGATTTTGAATGCTTCTATTTAGGACTTGGTTAAATATAGATTTGTAGTTGAGAGAACGTGAGAACATTTGGTGGTCAACCATGCTTCCCTGGCAGCTTCAATGCTGTTTCTGAAAGATAAATGTTATGGCCCAATTATAATGGATAACATAGTCATCTGGTTTAGGAGTCATTATACTTTTATTTAGAAAAGGAAAACCAGCACTTTCTCTTCTGTAGTAGTTTCAGTGGTTGTACTGCTCAAAGGATGTAAAACTCAAAAGAATGGAGAAGCTAAAATATCTCTATTGTAAACTTCTTGATTCTTGTTTTAGCGCACTCTAAGCATTTCTGAAAAGGCAGGCATGAGTCTCTGAAGCATATAACAAAGGAGAAGTATCCCCAGAGAATAACACTAAGATGTGCTCTGTAACTCTTTTGTACTCTGATCCTCTAACTTTTAAAATACAATTAATATTCTGTATTAATCACTTTAGTTTTCTCTTTTAATAACATTTTTTTTAAATTCATTTTCTCCTGCATATTTATTTTAGGAAGTATATATATTCAAAGATAGATTTTTATTAAACTTCCCTAAAATGCTCCTGACTGAGATACATGGGAGACTTGAAGAAGGACATAATTCATCCCAGCCTGGCATAAGAGGGAATAGTCCATGTTTGCTTCACAGTAGCTGTGGTTGCTGATGTCTTCTCCCTACTACCTTCTGGCTTTGGTTAAAAAAAGTACAGACTCTGTTCTAGCTACAGACCTGTTTATGTAGCATTACAGGTAACCTCTAAATGAAGGACAAATGACTATGAGTTTTACTGGATCTGTAGCTACCTTTCTGTCCAGTGATCAAAAACTAAATCTGCTGTCTGCCAGTAGCTATCAAGAATGGTTAGAAGTCTCCTGTCAATATGGCAAGACTTTCTGCCCCCTCCAGAAGACTTTGACATTGGAGAGTTGTAGGAACTTTCCAGGAAGAAGTTGTTCCTGACTGTGTGATGTTTTGTCTCTTGTATCAGCTTACATCTAGAGATCCTGACAGGCCTTTTGTCTTAGTGGTAATGGGAAAATAGCCTCCCTTTTTTTGCTCCAATTTTTCTCTCTCTCCTAGCTATTCCTATGTGGTACCTCTGTTTACAGGACCTTTCTTGTCAAAGACTAATTGTGTTACCTCCAGCAGGAGATAATGCCATTGGTCACCTCCCTGCAGACTCCCAAGACCAGGTGGTGCTCAAGTAATTTCTGCCTGTCTGGGTGCAAAAACCACAGTGGTTTTAGAGTTTGTTGCCTGGTGAAAACCATGTAGCTTTGTGCTCTGGGTGGATTTGGCTTCATCTTCTCTGTGGACAGTTTCTACTGCCTCTGTCAGAGGGAAGAGTGGGAAGGGCCCTTCTGGAAGAATACTTCAAGGCAGCTGTGTTTTGCCCACAGGGTCTGCGTCTCTGGGTGGAAGCAGCAGAGGCAGGTGTCGTTGTTGTCTCCTTTGGCATCGGGATCCGAGCTCTTCCAAGCGATTTGGTGGAGAAGATGGCTGGTGCATTTGCTCGCCTCCCGCAAAGGGTGGTGTGGAGGTGAAAAGGGAATGGGATTCATTTTCACTTGAGTTGGATGGAAAACAATGTTGAGGGGTGATTAATTTCAAATCACAGAGTTTGCTTTCTGTTTCTTGATCTGATTGAATTTACTCTTGTTGTCTGTGTTTCTCTTCTCCTTTTTTCCCTTGCTCTGTCTCCTCCCACAGATATTTTGGTCAGAAGCCAAGAAACCTGGGTGAGAATACGCTGATGATGGGGTGGCTGCCCCAGAATGACCTGCTAGGTAAGGCTGGGTTCTGTGTATGTGTGTGCCACTAGCAACACCCCTGGAGTTTAGCCCAAACCACAGCAAAGGTACATAAGGATAGCAGCACCTGTGTGGATCTAAGTCTGTTGCTTCTTGTTTGTCTGATCTGTACAAAACATGTTCCTCACCTAACACCTGCTTGAAGCTGCTTGGCTCCTATCTCCCTTCTCCTCCAGGCTCTACTCAGCAATTCTGGGCTGCAAAAACCAGATGTATTCCCAAAGGAATCCTCTCTGCTTAACATCCTCTCTGCTTAGCATGCCTGTTTTTCCCTGAACATACATCAACATAGTGTGTTAAGGAACCCCTGGTAGCCCTGTTGCAACGTGGAAGGCACTGACTTGCTACTCTTCCTTTACTTGCAGGCCATCCCAATGTGAAAGCCTTTGTCAGCCACTGTGGGATGAATGGTATATTTGAGGCAATTTATCACGGTGTGCCAGTGGTGGGATTTCCTTTCTATGGGGACCAGTTTGACATCATGACCAGAGTGCAGGCAAAGGGCATGGGTATCCTCATGGACTGGAGCAGACTAAAAGAAGAGGATCTTTACCAGGCTGTCATCACCGTCATCTCTGACCCCAGGTGAGGCATCTGGAAGCATCAAGCTCCTCCTTGGTGCAGACAGTGTGTAGGGACCAGTGTGTCTTTGTGTTGACCCCTACACCACCTATGATGGCTTCTGTACCAAGCACAGTGTCAAGCATTGCTCAGCTGACCAGATGTATCAGTGCCTCAAAATCCTTAGATGCAGCACAGGAGGAGATACTCCAGCATTTGCTTCTAAGGAGTGTGATCTAGTCCTGTCTGGCTGTAATGTTCTTAGAAGGTTTTCTGAGCTACTGGGGAACAGACCTCTTAATGCCACCCTGTCATCAGGGAGGGTGAGATCACAGCCTCCCATTGGGACCTCCCTGAACTTGTCCAAAAAGCTTTCTGTAGAAACAGAGAGGGAACTGCAGGTAATGCTCCATCTGCTCCTTCTGTCAGTCATATACTCTGCTTTTTCCTAGAACTGAAGCAGGAACAGAAAAGTGACAAAGGGCTCCTGTTTTCTAATGGGACATGTGCAACTGCTGATTTTTGAAATGCTCTCTGAGAGCTTGATTTTGAAAGTATTTTGTATTTCTTACCTATTAAGAGGTGTTGCAGTTTGGTATCTAGAAGGGTTTGGCCACTCATCAAGTGTATAGCTTTTGCTTGATCCTGGGTGAGGTCTTGGGGTGTAAACTCCCCTCAGAAAGTGTCATACACATGAGCTCACTGAACAGGTACTTGCAAGCCAAACTGTCAGTGTTATTAACAAAACACAAAGAAAAATCCACTCTGGTTTGTGCCTTCATAGCTGGCCAGTGCCATCAGAGTGGGTTTCAGAAGAAGAATGGGAGAAACTTGCCCCTCTCCCAAGGTATTATTTGGGACTTCAAAGCATCACTGGATGTGTCAGGCCACTTCTCAGTTTGAAGTTTCTATTGAAAGGTAAATGTCTTGTCATCTTCCCTTGCAGCTACAGAAAAGCAGCCCAGCACATCTCAGCCCTGCACCTGGACAGACCAATGCATGCTCTCAACAGGACAGTGTATTGGCTGGAGTACGTCCTTCGGCACAATGGGGCGCCCTTCCTTCGCCCCGCTGTCTACGACCTTTCCTTGTATGAGTACTTCTGCCTGGACATATTGGCTCTTCTCTTGCTGTGTCTGGCTGCTATTGGATTTGCTCTCTACAAATCTGTGCTGTGGTGCAGGAGGAAAGGGGCCAGCCCTGTGTATCAGAATGGCAATTGCATGAAAGGCCACTTCACAGATGAGAAAAAACTGCAGTAGTGGCCGGTGTGTTCCAGGGCATATCCCATCACTGTGAAATGAACTGCTGCTGTGCCAAGAAATGTATGGCATGCAGGCATGGAGAGAGGTGAAAGATCTGCAGGTCTGGATGAGAAGAGAGTGGGGAGGGAGGAGTATTGCAAAGGCCTGTGTCTACACCTCTGTGTACAGCACCTGTGGGCGGGGGGGTGAATTCAGGCGTGGGTGGGAGCACTTGGCCAGGATGCTGGGAATGGGGCATGGGTAGGTAGACTTCCAGGGAGGAGTGCAGGTTGTTCCCTTTGTATTGCACATTGGTTTAGATGCTGGAGTTGCTCTTCTGGCTTTTTGGATCATGGAGGCTCTGGAGGCAGGAACAGCATTTCATATGCAGCAGACACCATTTCTCCTCTGCCTTGTTACTAAGAGCCTCAGTAGTCAGGATACCTTTATGTGCAGATGAGAACTGAAGCAGAGCTGTGGACAAGGAAGGGCAATGAAAGTATCATCTACAAGAGAGAAAAACTGGTCTAAGTTCTGTGGATAAATATTGTTCTTCCAACTTCAGTCAACACTCTGCAATCCCGTTTATGTTTGAGCTAAATTATTATTTTTTAAAATAAACTTATATTCTTTCTCCTCTGTGGCAGTTCTCTGGTCTTGGTTTAATGTGAATCTGTGATTCTCATAACAGGAAGTTGTTCAAGCAAGATGGAAGTGCTTTTTCCTTCTCATTACTGCTGCTATAGTCTCCACATACCTCCATCAGCAATGTTTTAGCCTTTCTGCAGGCTTTCATTCTCTTCTCTCCTCTGTCTTCATGTGGCACACACCCATTCCCATAGCACCTCCAAACCTGTGATGAAAGAAATCTGGAACAGATGCAAGTGCCAGGACCAGCAGCCAATAGCTCAGAGAGCTGGTCACAGCAAATGGGCCCTACACCACATTTAGAGAAGCAGCAGGCTCTCCTCATTTCAGTGTGAACAGACAATATCGTTGCCCTACTTGGCCCATGGTATGGAGTGATACCTAATGTGTTTTTACTCACCCTGGACTCTAAGGCAAACCTAACTGGGGTGCAGTTGCACAACCTGCCCACAGCGTTGTCCGATGTGCCCACTGCCAGTGGCCCACACTGAGGATCAAAGACTCTGCTCCATGCTCCCACTGGGGCCACTGCAGTGCTCCCAGTAGTTGGAGAGTAACCTCACTGCCACAGCTGTCCTCACTGGTGGTTCTAGCCTCTGCTCTTGCTTGCTGTCCCATGCGGGGTTTTTCCCAGACAAGAGATGTGTTTTTACTGCAACCTGTGAAACAATAGTTTGGCTGGGCTCCTGGGCTGCTCTAGGTTGGAATAGTGCCTGGCTCTGACTTGGGAGGTCTTCTGAGGCCAGGCAGTGCTGTCCTCCCTCCCTAACCCTCAGCTTGCAGAGGGGCTAAGATGAAGGTGACTTTGGATGACCTATTAACCTTGCTCTGTAGCAGCCCTTTGTGGCTTCATTCCCACTGAGCTGAGAATGTGGAGCCTTAGTCTCTAATGGCAGGAAGAGGGAGATCAGAGCAAGGTGCTGATGTATATTAGGGGGAAAGTGGGCATTGTAGATAAGTAATAGGAACACTGCCTGACACCTTTCTGTGTCTGCAAACTGAAATTAGGAGGTTGATGGGATTTGGGGTTTATTTTTAGATAAAAAAGAGATATTGCCACAAATTTTCAGCATTCCTGCCTGTTTCCAGTTGCACTATAGTGACCTTGTTGTCATCTCCTAGCAGATGAGTTTGGACAAGGGGGTGGAGGTGGGGCATTTTTTCATCTCTGAGGTGGAAGAAGGAGATCATTACTGCTGCCTACGTGAGAGTTTGGATATTTAGATCAGGCTGAACAAAGCAAGAGAGCTGGCAAACTTGTGGCTTGGTGACAATGTTGGATTGTTTTGAACTTGAAGAAGAAAGAGGGAGAAGACAAACACACCGTGTTTGCAAACTGGAGGCATCATGGCCTGATGAGGACAGAGATCTGCACGTGGCTTTGTTTGCAAGCAGAATAGCAGACAGAAGTATTTGAGACTCAAGAGTCTGTGTGGACTTACAAAAATGTGAATCTATTTTCCTATGCTTCCTCCTTGCTATTCACAATTTCAGAAAGAAGCTCAAGCAAGCATCACATGCATCATTAGCATGTTGTCCCCTATCAGATATGCTCTTAACTTCTTGAATTTCTTATAGCTGCTTTCATTCCCAAAGCTACTGCAGAGTTAGGAGGCATTTCTATCCAGGGAGTCAAGTCTGTTTAAAAACGATTCCACAACTTGGTGGCGACTCTTTCTAGTGGAGTAAAGCATTAGGCCTGCCCAAGGACCTTGTGAGTAAGAAGTGGACATTCAAAAAGCACCCCTGAAGTAAAGAGTCTTCCCTAGGAAAACCTGTGTACTGGCTTAGAAACTGTCAGGAGCCATTCTGTAAGTTACAAAGTAATTTTATAGAAGTATTTAAATAGACTCATTAAAGATGAAGGCTACTCTAGCTTTTCCATCTTATTTATGTCCTCTGTAAATCTTTTCCTAATAAACACACAGCTTTCTCTCTTTACTCTTCTTCTTTCTCTCTTTTTTCCTTGTTATTCTTTCAGTATTGAATACAGAAGAAAAGTATGACAAGGGCTCAAGCTAGTTATTAAGTTAAATTAGGAATAATGAATAGCCTGTCACACAAATTAAAAGCCATGGTGGGGGAAGGGATGTAGGTGAGCTTTATCCTTCATGCAGCTCTGCCTTCAGCTTGGTGCCTGATCCCTGGGCACGGTGCCAGCAGTTACTAAATGCCCTCCCTGTCATAGGTACTGAGACAGGCACTCGGGGCTGTGGTGTAACTTGGGAAATTAAAAAATTGAAACTGTGGTTTATGAGGCAGCAAGCACGGAGCAAGCTCTTTTTCTGCCTTTTTTTTTTTCCTCTCTCCTTCCCCTCGAGGAAAAGTAGGACATGAGTCAATACCTTCCAGAAGACTGAAGAAGCCTCACCCAAGAGCTGCAACCCCAGCTGAGCTGTGCACAGGGCAAAGCTGCCTCCTGCCTCGGTGCCTGGCTGCCGGCAGGGCAGGGGCATCATGAGCAGGGTCCCGCAGCAGCCGCAGGGTGCAGCAGCACCCCCAGTCTCGCTGCTCAGCGCGATCTCCCTGCAAGGGCCCCGAGTGCGGCGGGAGGTGTTCGGGGCACGCTTGAGCCAGCTTTTCAGGTTCACCCGGCCCCACAGCTCCTCACCAAACTTCTCTGCGTGAGGCCCTGTGATTGGGAGCCGTCCTGGCTTGGAAACACCCTGAGTTTGCAAATGAATGTGTGTTCCAGGTGATGGCTGTGCAGCTCCCGAACCCTGGGCTGGGGGCAGCTCCACTGCTGGGAGCAGCTCCTTGTGGGGCATAGGGAGGGGGTGAAGCCACTCGCTGGCATGGCTCCTGTTATGACCCCTCTCCTCAGCCCGGTGCCAGCAACTGCAGTACTGCTGGAGCACACGGCAGGGCCTGGCACTGCCTCGGGGGCTGCTCCCCTGAAGGACTTTACAACCAGCTCATAAACTACTGCTGCTCCAGCCCGGTGCTGGCTTTGGAAGGGTCCCCGCACACCCTGGCAGCATCTCCATGGGAGAATCTGACCGTGGGCTGCCACAGCCACATCAATTCCTTATCTGGTTTTTCCAGCCTAGTAAGGTGGAGGCACCAAACTGTGTCAACAAAATTGGGCTAATAAAGAGGAGCTGTCTCCCTCTGCAGGTGAGTGTGAAATCGCTCCATCTGGCAGTGGAAAGACTAGAGAAGACGATAATTTTTACTTACCCACCGTTTACTGACACTAATCAAAGAGCACTTCTGTGGCAGGAACCCCTTCCCTTGGCCTGTGCATGGCTCAGCCCCAGCCTCTCATCTCTGCCCGTGGGTATCTTCCTCATGGCCCCCATGCACCTCTCTGATGCTCTTGAGAGTGCGGGCAATGCTTTTCTCTGGTGCTTGCAGGTTACAAATATTTCCCATAGAGGAAGGCAAGGAGCCAAGCTCTGTGAGTCCCCAGAGCCCAGCCGTGGCTATGTGCCATTGAGAGCACTGTTGGAGCAAGCTAGTCCCTCTGTCCCCAGCAGGGCCTCCTTAGGGCTGTGTCATGGCAAATGGAACTGCACAGCAAGTCCTGAAGGCAGTGCAATGGAAAGCAGCCTTCTCCCAGGCACTCAGGTGAGGCATGATCTCAAAAACCAGAAATGCCCATAGTGCCTCCCAAGCTGTGCTTTTGGAAGGGCTTCCCAAATCCTTGTAAACACCAAGGAGAGATTACACACCAGCCAGGAGCTGGGCATTATGCCTTCCAGGACAGCTGAGACGGCCAATTACTCCAAACAGCTAATGGATATCTCAGGATACAGAAAGCTCCTCCCTTCTCTCTCAGCCTCTTCCCTCTTTTTCAGGGACTGCTGCTAAGGTGCTTCTCCCTCTCCAGCTGAGCTCATTTACCTCCATCAGGACCACTCTACCTGCTGCAATAAAAGACTCTGGGTGGGATGCAGCTGGGACCAGTTATTTTTCAGGTTCTTACATCTTCTCTCTGTGGTGTCCGTAGTAGGAATGGTTGTGTAGCAATGTTTTTAAGGAAAACTTTTCAATTATTATTTGGTAAAATATCTGTGCTAGTGCTAAAGTAGTGATGCTATTGACTAACCTAATCCTGTCTCCTTTGAATTCAGTTATAAGAGTTTCTATAAGGGAAGTTCTTCCAAGATCAAACCATGTCCTGATGTAAAATTCAGCTATTTTAGTGAAAAGCTCTTTTATTACAGAGCTTTGCAGAGTTGAGTTTTCTTCTGTTATTAGCAATCCTGGAAAACCAGAGGGATGCTGCTTGATTGTGAAGAGGTAAGTGTGGCTATAGTGACATGCAGAACCTGTAGTTCAAGGGAAGTCAGTTTTGAGAAATACAAGATAACAAGGAAGGTTGGAGGAGTTATTGAAAACATAATGGTACGGTTCACGAGGGCAATGGCAGCCCCACATAGCTAATGTTTGCTTTTAGAAAAGTACATCAATGAACAGAAAAATAATATCCAAAGCATTCTTGAAAATAACACAGATTAGCCTCTGTATCTCACTGAGGAAAAAAGAAAAAAACTACAACATTACATATTCTGCAAATGGTAAACCCCATATTATGCCAACAGAGTTCAACAGATGCTTTGGATGGAGTTGAACTTCAGTGCCCTTCCTATAAAGCTTTGGGTAAGGTCATCTGTCAGATCAGGCGTGGTAATGCTGGATTTTGGGCTCTAGGCAGGAAAGTATTAAAGGCTATGCCCTGAATCACCAATTATCTACATGGACTGCCAGTTAGAATAGTCTATTTAAAAGCTAAACTAACTGAGAAGGAAGGTTGAACGGCTAATTTTCATTAAAACTAAACAGGTAAGAAGCTGAGGGCCTTGGCAAGGATAAAAGACAAAACTGGTAAAAGTTGATGTTAAAAGCCCTGCCTGTAGTTTGGGTTACGAAGTGGGCAGGAGCTGAAGAAACAGTTGCAAGCCTTTTGGGCAGCGCAGAGACACCTTTGGCAGCTGGGTGTTTGGATTACATCCCATCCACCTTCTGTCAGGACTGCCCAGCAGCAAAAGAAGTGAGCACCTGTACTGTAAGAAGAAGCTGGGTCTGATCAGGGAAGTTGCATCACAGTAAGTTTTGTAACAAATTGGTTGGAAAAAACTCAAATGCCAAAAGAGGCTTGAAGACTCTTCTCTTTGCAGGTCATACCTTGCTAACCAATGAGTCCTCTAAATGTATCAGTTCAGAGCTGAGTAAAGGAGTATGGGTTTTCATTATCAGGACTTTCCAAAGATATTTCAAAAGGAGTTCTGCAAAAAGAGGCACATAACTGGTGGCGGCAACCCAAGCTTTACTAGGGATCAAATTCATCTCAAGGCAGAACCAAGTAGAATGAATGCTGATTGGTTTAGTGTTGTTAAAAGGCAGAAACAAGCACTTTCTGCAGGAACAGCATTTTAGTCCCACTTCTGTAGCCAGGGCATTCTACAAAGCAAAGTGCTGAGCTTTGGTTTTGTGGTCTCAATATCATCTGGGATTGGCAAATTTATCTGGACTCTGCAGTCTATCAAGACTTCAACCAGAGGAAAGACATGATGTTTTGTGCATGTCTGGTGTAACTTCTGCTAACTATGACAGTAGATGATTCAACTGGTGACTGGAGCACAAGAATGATTAAGTGGAGAGGGGGCAACATAAAGCCATTGGCAAAGTCTGGCTGTGAATGACCCTCGGGCAATTTTGCTTATTTTAGCAAAGCAGAAGGTGCATTGTATTGTTGAGAAGGCAGGGTGGAGAGTTTTACACACTGTGATCAGTGTAGGAAACAGCTC